TTTTTTTTTATAAATTATGTAAAATCTGCATCATCTTCTTCGCTAATTTCTAGCATAGCCTGCATTATCTTACGTTTAAGTTTTCTCCGTGAAAAATCTGAATTGAGATGTCGGAATTCTGTAGCAATTAATTCACCAAAAGCATCCCACTGATCACGCGATCTGAGAATCATGCAACTTTCATCTAAACCTTTTTTTTTACTTTTTATCTCCGAAGGTATTTGTCCACATTGATCTCCCTTAGCCATGTGGCAGCAGCGTGAGACTTGGTCATGATGCAATTCTTCAATAACTATTTCCTCACATTGAGATATTTGTTGGAAGGGTGCTTTTTTAACCAGATTTTTAATAGCCTTATTTTGATCTATAAGACACACGTTTGGAACCCGTGGGTTTGTTTGTGGGGATGAGTTCACACTGTTTCTTTCATTACTAATTACTAGCGTTGAAGGAGTTTCACTTTGTTTGACATTGCTACTTATAGTTCTGTCTGTGGATCCTTGGTCAGTCGTACGTTCTTCATAATGATCAACTATAGTCGCTTCTTCCAAATGATACCGTGTAATTTGCTCTAATGTATCGTTGGAATTTGGTGCAATTGTGGGCTTTAAATTTTGCTGTTCAATTTCATCTTCACTGGTATTGTCGTACTTTAGATTGGGATCGATTTTGCGCATTTTAGATTGGTATCCACCTGGACGTGGTTCAATAATATCCCGAAGGAATCTTAGTGCTTGAAAATGTTTCCATCGGCAACTTGCTGCGTTCGATTCTTTGTCGTCTCCAGTTTCCTCGACCCTTCTCTCAAGCTTTTTCATCTCTGAATTGAATTGATTACGCAAGTTATGGATCTTCTTACCAAAATCCATTTTTGTAATGCGTAGGGTTGAACATATATTTTCAATAGCTTTTGTTCGTTTTTCTTTATTTTTGTATGCCTCAGTATAATGGTTCCACAAACAGTCATGTTGTCGATACAATTCGATCAATTGTGTAATTTTCTCCCGTGTCCATACCGTACTTTTCCTTCGGGACACAATTGTTGCAGGGTGGGTAGTATTTTCCATTACGAGTTTCTTAACAAAGAAATATCGTATTCTCTTGTAAATCTGGGAAAATTAAAATATTTGTTTACGCCTTTGGGGGAATTGACTAGGTATGTTGAAAAATTATCGATACTTATCCAAGGCGATACTTATCCTAGTAAAGAGCCAAACACACCCACAAGCGTTTTGTCAAAAAGACGAGATTTCCCTTTACCGGACGTCTTCACGTGCTTGCAAATCTCGCAGCAAAATTTTC